TGAAATACAATAACTTGCTCCTCTAAATGATTTTCTTGTTAGGCTGATGTCAACAAGGCCTCTTGCTTAACATTACCCACAATTAGTGAGCTGCCTTGCCTTTCATTGCCTACATAGGCAGCATGCTATCTAGGGATGCCCAGTATACTTGTTTAAAGTTTGATTATTTTGTAGAATATTGGTATATGATATATATTATAATATTGATATTTAACTGCCTGTTTTACATTTTTGATTTAGTGAACACTTGATCACTTTTACAATTACTCTGATAATTTAATACACTTAATCTTTATTTTTATTGCATATCAGATAATATTGCATATATACTGAACAAAATTATAAACGCAACACTTTTAATGCACGGCCCCATGTTGCAAGGATCTGTACACAATTCCTGGAAGCTGAAAACATCCCAGTTCTTGCATGGCCAGCATACTCACCGGACATGTCACCCATTGAGCATGTTTGGGATGCTCTGGATCGGCGTATACGACAGCGTGTTCCAGTTCCTGCCAATATGCAGCAACTTCGCACAGCCATTGAAGAGGAGTGGACCAACATTCCACAGGCCACAATCAACAACCTGATCAACTCTATGCGAAGGAGATGTGTTGCACTGCGTGAGGCAAATGGTGGTCACACCAGATACTGACTGGTTTTCGGACCACCCCGGACCCCCCAATACAGTAAAACTGCACATTTTAGAGTGGCCTTTTATTGTGGCCAGCCTAAGGCACACCTGTGCAATAATCATGCTGTCTAATCAGCATCTTGATATGCCACACCTGTGAGGTGGATGGATTATCTCGGCAAAGGAGAAGTGCTCACTAACACAGATTTAGACAGATTTGTGAACAATATTTGAGAGAAATAGGCCTTTTGTGTACATAGAAAAAGTCTTAGATCTTTGAGTTCAGCTCATGAAAAATGGGGGCAAAAACAAAAGTGTTGCGTTTATAATTTTGTTCAGTGTATAAGCTAATATTGATATTTAACTGCCTATTTTTATATTTTAATTAACCATCATCTAGCATTCATTTAAGTTAATCTTATAATTTCATCTATTTTTTTGTAGTATATCAATTAGTATTGGATATATATTAGCCAATATTGATATTTAACTGCCAGTTTTTACCTTTTGATGAACTTTAAATGAATTCTTGATGACGGTTAAGGTAATTAATAATTTAACACTTTTTGGATCAATATTAGCCAATATTGATGTTGAACTGCCTATTTTTATATTTTTGTTACCTTAACCGAAGTCAAGCGTTCGCTTAAGGTTAATCTAATAATTTAATAATGCACTTTTTGTTTAATTTTTTGTAGCATATAGATAAATATTAGTGCTGTCAAATGATTAATCACGATTAATTGCATCCAAAATAAAAGTTTTTGTTTACATAATATATGTGTGTGTACTGTGTATATATAAATACCCACACATACAGTATATATTTTGAAAATAATATATATATAACTGCCTGTTTTTACATTGGATCGCGTTTGGCACACCAATGGCTCTCGAGTCGTAATTCACTCGTCCGCTGTACTTCTGTTCCGCTCCGTCGCCGGCGCTGTCATGATCGCCCCCCCTTCCCCCTTTTTAATTAGACAACAAAACAAAAACTATGAATATGCATAAGCAGAGAAATCATTAATATGCACAATTATGCAAATCAGTGCACAGTTAAGCTGCTTCTCTCCAGAGCATTAAGGGGGAGACGGTTTTCGGGAAATTTCTGCACCGTCGATCTTTAAAATTCTTCCGTTCTGCGTCTTTCCAGCCTTTGTGCTTTCAGTCGCTGGGACATTTGTGGTTTCTATACCTT